TATATATATATATATACATATACATATATATACATACACATACACAGTTGGTCCTCATATACAAAAAAACAGCTGATCCCCATATATAAAAACCGCACACACAAGAACAGGGAAGAGCAAGGCCATCTTCTGTTGCAGGAGGAATATGCTACAGATGCCGAGGCTGGTGACGTCACGCAAGCGGACGATTTGCTCGACGCCGGCGCCTCTCGTCGCCTCGCGCTCGGCGCTTCTGGCCCGACATAATGACAAAGATGGTGGTGATAGTCATGGCTTTATTATCACTATCAGTGTTATTATTAGTAGTAGTTCAATAGTCGTCTTCGTCCTCATCTTCCTCTTCATGGTGGTAATAATACTATTACTATTATTACTATTGTCATCATCATCATCATTATCATTATCATTATTTGTTACAATTATCATTATCATTAGTAGGGGTGTCATGTTTATACTGTCAATGATAATAATAGCAAATTAAATGATAGAGGATGACAATAGTAATGGCGTAATAATGATAATTCATAATGATATGACTATGATCATAATTATTATCGCTATAATCACAGTCATCCTTTAGCATCATTATTTCAGCATTATCACTACCATTATTATTGTTATTATATTTATCCTTATTGCTGTTATAATCACTGTCATCATCATAATAACAACTACAACGACAACAACAACAACAATAATGGTAATAATAATAATAATAATAATAGATATTATTATCCTTATCATTATTATTAGATTTATTATCATCATAACCATCATCATCACCAACGTATCTTCATTACTGGTGTTGTTGCTCTTGTTATCATTATTATTTCCGCTGTTGTCAGCCGAGCAGCGTAAAAAGCAATAGTTTTCGTCCCGGTACAAAACTTATGCAAGTTTCATCGTGGCGATTGCATGTCCAAACAGGGACTGTTGCAATGATCATCCAGTGCAACGGCCCTAAACAACGGCTGTTACATAGGGATCAATTTGACGTTTGGTTCCTTTTCCTTTTTATTTAACCAATGAAAAATATGAAATAATCTAATGACTGATATTTGGGGGAATCTCTTTAGCTGCCGGAACAGCAGTATGCAGGTGCAAACTGAAGCACTGTCACGTCACTGTAAATATTTTCTAATGCTTTTCGAAGATTCGGAGCATTTCATTCTACGAAATCACACAGAAGTACGAACGACATGACGCAGAAAAAACAGAATGGATGTAACGGTGTTCCTTTAGCGTTGTTTACTGTTTTGCTGGTGTTTTTTGGTTGTTTTGTGTTGCTGTCGTCCCATCCCTACTTTAACCCTACCCTCTCAAGGCCGGAGTCTTGCACCGTCTGGTGGGTATAAAAGGCGCGCGCGAAGATGCATCTTCACCATTCACCTCCGATCGTCTCCGGAGCAAGTGTCTCGCTGTGGTCCTCTCTTCCTTGAAACCTCACCATGAAGCTGGTAACAAAACCATATTTTGGCATCTGCTATTAAGTATCCAATAAAAATGATCGGCGATATAACCTATCTTATTGATATTTTTTTTATGTTTGTTGCGGTTCCATCTCATGATTTCTGTCTTCGTTACAAATTCTTCCACTTCTCCCCGATCCGAATACTTCACATATATAGACCTGAATATATTTTATGTATAGTGTAGACACACGCAAGGAGTGGCCCTTGAACATTGCGCAACTCTTCTTGTCCTCCCAGTTGATGCTGCTGGCGCTGGCGGGGCTGGCGAGCTGCAGCACAACCCTGGTCGGAGGCGACCGCGCCAGGGACGTCTCTCTTCGCTACAAGTAAGTCGGGTCCCTGCCGGTAGGTCGCAATTCCTGAGTGCATACACGCATGTTCTTCCTTATAGCTTGTTTGTTTCGCTTTCTGTTCCTCCGACCTGAGGGAACCCCGCTCTCCCGCAGGTACTACGACGACGACGGCAGGGAGATCCAGGTGGAGGTGGAGGCCGAGAGGCTGGGACTCGGCCTCGTCGGCGGGGCGCCCCGGAAGGCCGCGGTCGCCGCCCCTGCCCCTGCCCCTGCCCCTGCCGCCCGCCTTGCCCCCGTGACCGCCGTCCCTTACTTCGCCCTCCGACCCCGTGCGCCGACAAACTTCGCCCCCGTGGAGGTCACCCAGGTGCAGACCCGCTTCGCCCCGGCCACTCGCAAGGTCGTCCCCGTCCTGCAGCCGCAGGTGATGACTCGCTTGGTCAAGGTCGCCCCGGCTCCCCAGGTCACCCGCTACGTCCAGGTGAAGGCTCCTAGGACCAGCTACGTCAGACTGGATGACGACGACGACGACGACGATGACGACGACGTCCCGTTCGTCTTCCGCCCATCGCGCCCCGTCGCCCCCCGCGCCACCGCAACCGTGCAGCGCCTGGCGACCCTGCGCTCCTCCCTGGCCGCCCTCGACAGGGTCCCCGTGGTCCCCGCCCGCAGGGTCTCGGACAGCAGCGATGAGGATTAGGCACGTGCTCCAGCTTGCACTAGCTCCTCTCTTTA